AGCAGCAGCAGGCCATCAAGGCACTTGTGGCCTGCTACTGGCAGAGCCCCCTGTGGTGTTGCATACCCTGAGACTTGGGGTCTCCATGTGGTACATAGAGCCAGCCTGGCCCAGCATGCAACTTTGGAAAAAAACGGGCTACCCAGAGTTCCTCCTGAGCAGTCCCCTGAAACCCCATGCAGGTGCAAGCCCCAGCCTCTAGCTCCCCCTGGCTGAAGAACCAGGAGGAGCCAGGCAGGGTCAGTTTGCCCCAAGTGGCACAATTTGCCCCGCACCAAAGTGCTTGTTCAGGCATATGTGCTGAGGTACAAATCTTCAACACATATCTGAGCTCTGCATCAGATCAGGCCGGGTCTTGCCTCCAAGTGCCCATTGCACCGTCAGGCCAGGCCAGCTCCACGGAGGCAGGACCCAGCCCAGCCCGGCCTGACACGCAGCCCCTGTGTGTGGTGCCGGGACTCCAGGTGACAGCAAGAGTGGCCTGGTCCAGCCCAAAGGCACATGTCTCTGGGCAGGGCCAGGCTCAGCCTATGCCATGTGGCACAGGTGGCACTGGGTCCCAGGCAGCCAGGGCTACACTATGCTGTGGGGGTGCCTGTGGCAGAAGGCCACCTGTTTCTCCCCAAAAATTCTGCTCTGTGTTAGGATGGGCCCTGCAGAGGGTACAAACCTTACCCTATCTCTTTAGGTAACCTGAGCTGGATACATTCATGAGGGAGGGGGGAAACCTGCTCCCTATGCCTGCGTGACTGGCATCACATACGTGGGTGAGGAGCTTGGGCTCCCTGGTGAGCTAGAGACTGACAGTCTGCCCAGCAACTAGTGATGCATTTCAAATTGGTTGGCTGACAGCCAACAGGTGCTGGCCTCCATTGGACCAGGTAAATGAGGTCATAAGGGCTATCTAAGTTAAGAACTGCCCAGGAGGAGGGGGCAGCAGCCATGAGGAAAACTCAGAGAGAGAGAGGAGATGGACCATCTGAAACTTACTCTCTCTCTCAAAACTGATGATCAAGGAACTGCTTGCCTCCATTGGGAATCTCCACCTGCCTCTGGATGATACTTATGAGTAAGCTGCCTGAGATCTAACTAGATATCTAGCTTGCAGTAACTCAGATGCATGATCAAAGGCTACCCAGCCACCCTGTTTGCTCTATGGGATTTCTCTGATACTACTCAACTCTGTCCCCTAGTCCAACCCTACCCCTTGTAACCAGTAAAGTTCTCCTTTGTACCTAGCATGGGAGACTTATTGGGAGTGGGTCTAGATTATGCCTTGGGGTCCCCTTGGTTTGGCTGACTAAGGGAGACCATTATTTGTGTTCCGACTGAGGAAAGCATCCCAAGTTCTTGAAGTGAGTCAAGTACCCACGAGGGCTACTAGGCCTGTGTTTCCCAGGGGGCACAGAGCCAGAATCAAGCCCATCCCTGGGTGGTGGCAGTTCTACCCCCAGGTTAGCAGGTGCGCTCC